GTGGTTTACCGCACGCACAAATTACCGACACAACCGCGCCGGCACCAAAGATTTACAGATCGTAAGTCAACCGCTCTTCTCCCGTCTATCGGGCGTCTCGTTGTCTTTGTGATTTTCTGTTCCGAATATTGCCGCGAGAAGAAAAGAGCGCGGAGGAACCGATTGAGAAGCTTCGAATGATCTGAAACTGAATTTATATATGACAGGATCATCTTTCTACAGTTTTTTTCTCTTTCACGAAATTGATCGAGCGAACACAAAGTACACATAAATTTTGCTCGAGTTCTTCGCGATTCTTATCGATTTCCGTGATTCGCTCAGAAAGTTTTCTCTCGTGTATATTTTGCACAAAAAAATAATTAATATAAGCACAAAAAAAAATAATTTTACATACAAATATTGTATTAAAACTTTATATTAATTTCACATAATAAAAATATTATATTTTTAGTTCGCATAAAAAAAAATATTTAAAAGACCGACATGTGTCGAATAAAATTTAAAATTTGGTTAGAGCAAGTTGAAAATTTTTGATTAGATTATTTTACAAGCTCTCTTCGGTGTGTACCGCGTTATAATCGACCATCCCGCAAGCCGCGGGATCTCGCGCGATCCCAATCGCGGAAATAGATCGCATTGATGGAGTCGCGGCGTCAGTATAACCAACGGCTAAACAATCGCATTTGTTTGAAGAAGGTTTCCTGCGGCCTTGGTCGCCGGTTATTTCGGACGGGGCGGCCTATCCCACCGAGCTATTGTGCCCGATAGGATTCGATTGATCGGCGAAGGTTCATCGACGCGCGCGCGCGCGCGTCTATTATAACGGCCGAGGAAAACTTGTGGCTCGCGGAACAATAATAATAAGAACGACATTTTCAACTTTATTTCGCGATTTCGCAACATGAAAACTTCATAACCTTGCCAAAAGCGGCGGATCAAAAAAGCGCGCCGCGAAAAATACTTTCTTCAGTTCCCGAACCCTCAATTTTGCTAAAACCATTTTTTGCGACGCCGTCCGAAATGAATTGGTGGTGTATCATCTTGGAAGATGATACACGCTTACGCGCTCGACAAGTTACAGTGATTATCGAGAGTTTCAGGAAGAACGGCGGGGAGTTTATATGTGTCGGAGACGCGCTCTCGCGTGTTCGCGTGCCCTCGATTGCGTAAACGACCAGCGGTATTGAGGAACGGCGACTTTTAAGAGAGGAAAGGGGAAAAGATAACAACCGAAACACACTCTTTCTCGAATGCTCGGAAAAATATCCTCGCGCGCATCTTCCGCGCGAGTATATATATATATATTTTGTACAAATTTTGTTGTTTCGTGACAAACTTTTGAAATGAGAAATTGCCGAAGAGAGAAAATAAGCGAGGGATGAAATTGAGATTTCGAGTCCGCGACTCGAGATCTCGCGCGAACGCGAGATCGCGAAAATAGATAAACTCGCGACGACAGATACGAATGTGCGGTAAAACCGCGGCGATAATGCGGTTTTGTCGCCTCGTCGCATAGGCGTAATCTCAAACTGCCAAGACGAGACGCTCGGACTATAATGAAACAAAGTGGGTTCGCACACTCGTTCGCGAAGTATTTATTGTTTTTCTAACATTTAAAGTCTCCGCGATTTATTAGCCAATTTTCGTGTGTGAACGCTGCGGTTTTCTTCGCAATGCCAACGTTTGAGCGTACACACTCGTTTTCGTCTCGTTTCTACCGCACGATTTCTAGTATTTTACTTACGGAACGCGTTATTGTGTGTCAATAAATTGACATTTCACATTGTATATGCGCGTAGAGTATCACAACTATTTTCCATGTCGCAATAAATTCAGTCTAGTACATATGTATATAATATATATATATTTGTTGCCGCAAAGTAGAACGCATGTTTCGCGATATGCGCACATGCCTCTGCACGGCATAATTGTCTTCGTTATCTTCGCAGCTTTTTATCTATTGGCGCAATTAACAAAATGCACCTGTCTCGAGTGCTAGAAAACCAGCGCGTGTTGCACGTTTTTGCGTATAAACGTGCGTGTTACACAAAATTGATTAGAAAGAAAAAAAAAGACCTTTTACAAGTCCCGTATTCTTGTTTCATAAAAATAATTGTCATTGATATTTAACTCTGTTCGCGAACAGACACGTGTCTTCCAGACACACTCGAAAATTGCGCATCGGCGTCTCTGATTAGTTTGTTTTAAACGCTTGTATCTTCGAAACTACTAGAGATGTTCTCAATTTGTAAAATATTGATTTTTCGCGATGATGTTCGATTCTAAGGTCACGCGGGTCTCACAGACCCAGTCTGTCCGACTAGTCGTCATTTTTGAGTCGTCTGTCCACGAAAAGGATTGAAATTATTAAATGGTTTGTCTCGACTGTAAACTGCGGTGTTTTTCATCTTTCGCGTTACAAGCACAAGCTGTTCAATTAAAATAATAAAAACCGTAAAAATAATAGTCCCCCATAAATTACACATACCACTAATTTCAAACGCCTATTTCCGCGAAATCTGCGTTGAAATTGCGGATGGTTTCCGCCGCGGCGGCAGCGGCCGCGTAGTAGTAGTAGCTGTATCGTCAAAGACCCGACATTGCATTGTAAACAAACGAGGGGGGCGAACGGGGACGCCGCGCACGCGCGCGCGAGAGAAAGAGACGGAAGGGTACGGAAATGCAGCTCTTGGTGAATGAATGGATAAAATCAGGAAGATCCCCCCGCGCATGTTCCCCCTTCGGTTACATCGTGCGTCCGTACGCGCCATCGGAACCGAGAGACACAACGCTCGTTTCTCTCCCCCGACGACATGCCGCTGCTTGTAATGCCGCCTCGCAACACACGAGATTAGTTCCGCAGAGCTGGGCGGCCGACGAGCAGCAGCCTTGAACCAAATTACGGGCTGCCCGTTGTTTAGTTGTTTAGCCGGAGCGCGTGTGTATATCGCGCAAGCGGAGGAGAAATCCCCGGCCGCACCGGGGGCACCTAAGGCGACGCCACGAGCAGCAGACGCGTTCCCGCTTCCTGTTCCTTTAATCCGCCCGCTTTTTTATTCACCGATCGTTTCCAGCCGGTCGATTATCGATCGAATATCTTTCGCATTCCATTCGTCGTTACGCGCGCTGCGTTGTTAAAAAAAAAAAAAAAAAAAGATTTTTCACCTCGACGAATCAAACGTAACTCGTTGAAATGCCGTTTTTTTGTTTTTAGTTTTTTTTTTTTTTTTTTTTTTTTTGGAAGAATTCTATCTCCTGTGATATTCTATCGCGCAACTCCGCGCGATAGAACGCGCATATCCGACACATTCGTCGAAACAGGACGCGGTATTGTGAGTGCAGCCTTGAATTTACAGGCACGACTGCAACAATAGTTGAATAGAGCGCATTGGCATGCCGCGAAGAGAGAACCGCAAAACCTCGGCGAGCTATTCGCGCGAAAACGGCTCGCGAGAACCGTGATATTCTGTAAACCGAGGCAGAAAAAAAAAAAAAAAAGAAAGAAAAAAAAGCGGCAAAGTGACTAGGAATTAGCATACCGTTCAATAGATCACTTTTCTCTCGCGCGCTATGTACAGCTAAAAAAAGATGGCAAATATTTCCGAACGAGGAATTTGCAATTCCCCGGTTGGATCTGATCTGACAGTTTCGCCGTTGGTCAGAATTTTATTGATTTTTTTTCACATACACGCGCAGCAAATTTGTCCGACGCCGTATTACCCGTCACCGCGGACGTATTATTATCATATTCATTGTTACTTATTATCAATCATCATCATCATCATCATCATCATAATCGTCCTCGCTATTTCCATGCGATGTCTTAGTAGCCAACATCGTGGCGTGACAAAGCACGTTCTCATAGCCTTGACAGTCGACCTGAACACTCTTCGGACTTGACGGCTGACTAGAAAACTCGAATCTCCTCAATAACGCAACGAGTCTCGGGATCACATCGAATTCGATAATATTTACGCGAATGCCGTAAATATGTTGCAATTTGTCTCCGATTATTAATAACCGACGATGAATTTATAGTATCAATATGGAATATGCAAACATAGAACACGAAAGACGAGAAGAGGTGGGACGTGATCGCTGGCGCACTATTTTTAGACGAGCGTCTTCAAGGCCGTCGACTATTTTTACACGTTTTTCTCCGCGCTCACATCCAGAAAAAAAATTTCCAATTGTGAGCAATGTTGTGAGCAACAAAAAATTTTACTGTCAATAAATAATGTTACGTATAATGTCGTGTATAAGTAGACAAATATAGTAGACAAATAGTAGACAAATTGTGACAAAATTAATTTATTGTTTGCAAACAAGAATTTCTTCTCTTTAAAAGTTTCCTCTTACGCGTCTCCGAAGCAAAGTTATTACGCGCTTTGCTGATAGCGTTGCGTGAATGTACAAAGACAAAGAGAGAAAAGACAAAAAAAAAAAAAATTATTAAAAGAAAAAAAATTATATAGAAAGCCGAACAACATATAAAGTCGCAAATTTTCTCGTACATCCTCCGGAAATAAATACCAGACTTTTGTGATAAACGTGTTACAATTAGACACCGAGACTTTTGGAAGAGAAAAACTTATACACAGAAGAGGTACAGATTGTTTAACGTATTCACGTATTCACGTATTACAACGTGTCGTTGGCAGAAAAGATTTTTTAACGGTCGTAAATTCTTCGCGACTCAAACGCACAAATTATTCCGAAGAGGTTTTTCCCAACGGAACAATAGGTTTTGCTTCTGCTGTCGATGTCACTCGTAAAACTAGTTAGCCGGTTTAAGAGCCATAAACTCGTTTCGTTTGATAACAAAATATTGCCAAGCTTTTACGCGCAATGGAACACCGTGTTGAAAGAAGAGATGTTGATTCTGTGCTAATTTTGTAAAAAAAAAAAAAAAAAAAATTATGTGTGTATCATCTGCACAGACGCGTGTATGTATTATAATTAATTGTTGACTAATTAAAGTACAAATTTTGTGTTTTCAGGGAAACAAGGTAAAGACGGACCAGAAGAAAAAAAAGATGCAGACGGTGAACTTTGGGGCAACGTGGAAGCGCAGGCCGCGTTTCTCGGGCCCAATCTATGGGACAAAACTTTGCCCTACGATGCCGACCTGAAGGTATTAAACCATGTATGTATAAAAACGCGATACGGTAAGCTCCTCAATTTGGCTGAACTCAATCCCGAAATTACAAAGTAAATTAATTTGTACATTAATTGATTGTATATCATACTCATTTTATTTATTTTGGAATCGTTCCACTAATTATTAATTAGTCTACGGTGTTTCTAATGTGTGTGTGTGTGTGTGTGTGTGTGCAATTTTTTCTATAAAATTTTCAATGTGTTTATCGCGCGACACGGTTGATTAAGTTATGTTTTCATTAGGATTTGCCACGATTCTTATACGATTTGAATGGCTTTTACGAATATCGGTCCCGCGGAAAATGTGTTTCGCGAGGGGTTCATCACACATCCCGGAAATTGCCGTGCGCAAACACGTAATAGAATGGCGAATCAATGTAGCGGACCATTGCATTGCGCTCTGTTGTAACACTTATTCCGTTATAATTTGCTTTCCCGGGTCGAGTAACCAGGAAGCCGAATATTAAGCCGACTATGTAATCGCCACGATAGCGGCCACTTTCTCCGTTATGCCTCGCCGGAATCAAGGAAGTTTCGGCTATTCTTTCCTCGATTCCCGTTATTATTTTTAGCCAAACTGTTTGAATAACGTTTGTTAAAAAAAAAACTCTGTTTTTCTAGCTCTTTGTAGCAAAAAACTTGACTAAAGAGAGAAAGAGAGATAATAACATGATAGTAACTGAATATATAATACAAATAGAGAGAATTGTTCGAATAGACAAATAGACTTCTCTTCACACATGTTTCTCGTTAACTTTCACCAGTTCTTCGATCTCGATAGCACAAAGTGTTTTTTTATATTCATATTATTATTATCTTTACGGTTTTTTCTTTTAATTATTCGAATTGTGTGAAACAAAACGTTATCAACTTTCCAAGAGCTAAAGTTCACGCCTGACTTGAAAATAAAAAAACAAATCCGCTGTGATCCCAGATACATAATTAGATTGTATTGTTTAATTTTTCCCTAACGTAATCGCTGCTTGAATTTAACGACGAAGATCCCGCTCGCGAAATTGACCGTTTCTCTCTTGTTGCCAGTACGTCGATCTCGATGAGTTTCTTTCCGAAAACGGCATCCCCGTGGACGGCGTGGCCGGTGGCGGGCAGGGGGCCATGCAAAGTGGTCAGCTTCACAAAATCAACAACACCGAGGCCGCCGGGCATCAGGGACCAGCGGGACTCCACCTGGAACCGGTCACCAAGCGCGAGAGGTCACCGTCGCCGAGCGAGTGCTGCTCGCCGGACACCCTAAACCCACCCTCACCCGCGGACTCCAGTAAGTAAATCCCATCTTCTCGATCCTCACGCTCGTTCTAGCCGTCGTTCGCGATGTCGAGATCCTGAGAAGTGTTTTTTATACAAACAATAGAATACAAAAAACATCAAAAAAACACGCTTTACACACAATTCCACAGAGTATCGCAAATAAATCACTCACTTTTATAGTATTAGCGAACTAATGAAAGAAACGTAACTGTAAGATGCGACAGCGAAAGAGAGAAACGTCCGAGAGAAAAAGTTACAAGTGAGTAAGAAAACGACAAAGCGCGGCGCCGACGAGAGTAGCCGCAAAAGTACGTGCGCAAGAAAGTGAGAAAAGGAAGCCACGCTATCTCAGAATCTGTATCGCAATAACGTCGTGCTTGTCGAGTGCATCACAGAAAAAACCAGACTAACGTCGACGTTGCGAATTTTTCCTCTTCCGCGCGACAGATTCCGAGGACTCGTCACGAATACAATATGGCTTGTCTCTTGTAGCGCTCTCGATGGCCTCATCGGGGCGAGACTTCGATCCACGCACCCGGGCCTTCTCCGACGAGGAGCTCAAACCACAACCTATGATCAAGAAATCGCGGAAGCAGGTAAGTCTCCTATTTATCTCCCATCTTATTATATCGTCACCGTTCGCGTTTTTTTTCATCAGAGTTTTCTTAGAGAGATTTCAATGAAAAAGAAAAAAAAAAAAGCGAATTTCTCACATATAAGTAATTAATCGAATACGCAATCGTGTTGACGAACGTCGCGTTTCTCGCGACGTAATGAATACGCGAGCGTTCTTATATTCTTTCTTTTTTTTCTCTCTTCCGTTTGCGGCCGCAGTTCGTTCCGGATGACTTGAAGGATGACAAATACTGGGCGCGTCGTAGGAAGAACAACATGGCGGCGAAACGCTCGCGAGACGCGCGTCGCATGAAGGAGAACCAGATAGCACTCAGGGCCGGCTTTCTTGAAAAAGAGGTGAGTTTTTCCCACGGTTGGGAATTCTAAACCGTGATCTACATCATCATCGCGACTTCCGCGATCGATTATTAAAAACCGAAACAATATTGAGCTTGTTTGGTTTTTTCTTTACTTCTCGCAATTCATCAAAATCATCGGAACCACGACGAGAAAGAAAAAAACCGACTTCTATGAGCGTGCAAAGTTTTTGTTTGTCAATTTCATCTTTTTTGATTTACTGTGTGTAATTTTGTTTGTTTACTGATTTCTCTCTCTCTTCGTTTTTTTTTGTGCAGAACATGGGCCTGCGGCAAGAGTTGGACCGGTTAAAAAACGAGAATATGTTGCTGCGTGACAAACTGAGCAAGTACACGGACGTCTAACATCCCGTAATCGGGCGTGCACACCATCAGCTCGAGCGACAACGAGAGAGAGAAAGAAAGGGAGACACGACAGAGAGGGCACGACGGACGATCAGCCCCCTCGTATGTAATCGCGGCAGATCACAGTCGCGATCTTCGCCCCGAAGCGAGCGGAGAATACGAAGAGGAAATCTGATGTTGACGAACATCAACTATCCCGACTGCCGCCGCTTTAGAGAGCCGAAACAACTTCTTCATCGGAAAAGTCTTCTACGAAGACCGTTTTATTCTTTATTCTCTCTCTCTCGCACTCTCGAATAAAAACTTCTTGAGTCCTCGCTCCTTGTCCCGCTCTAGAGAAACTTCTCCACTTGTAAATAGATATATGTATAGTTAGATTATATACACGCATACATGCATACATACGTATATATATATATATATATATACACACATATATATAGGACGCCCGCGCGCGTTATATTGTATATGTACATTTATTCCTGTGCACTGCACGTTGTGTGTATGTACATTTGCAATATCTGTGTGTACATATACAGTGCGCAAGAATATGTATATACATACATACATATATATATATATGTATATATGAGTTTAAAAGATGAAAAAGAATATATATATATATATATACATATATATATATGTACACAAGTATCTGATAGGAAAAAAAAACATACTTCGTCACACGACACATAAGTGCGCGTACGCGGCGCGCGACGAGATACGTCGACTTCGTCGAAGCCTTCTGTACAGCGAGCTGTATTTCGAAAATTTAAAAAAAAAAAAAAAAACAAAAATTGAATTATCGCGCGGGATTCGAAAGAAAAAAAACCCGGGAATTCGGAAGAAGAGGGCGAATCTCGTCGGCGCTCAGCACTGCCACATGTAAAGGAGCTAATATTATATCGTTAGATCGACATGGAGCGGAGGCGAGCGAAGGTTGGGAGAACACGACGCTTTTCTGCGCGCACAGGTGTTAAATCGAGAGATCCTGGTTCTCCGAGAATGCGTTAATTACTGTAGCGTATCCCACGTGGTGATGGTACACAAGTGATTCTAGTTGTTTTAATCGTAAAATAGATGATGAACACGTGTTTCGTTTTCGTCGTTTTTCTTTTCTCTCTCTCCCTCTCTCTCTCTACTTTTTACTCTGTCAATCCACCTGTTTCTCTTTTTTAGTGTGTAGCGAATTAAATGCGGCCACGCGAGGAGAGTGCACTTGGGATGCGCGGAAAGCGTCGCGATACGATTCTATCCTCTTTTCCTCTTTCGTAATTAAACACAATACGCGTATACGACACGAACTAAGATTACTCGCGCAATAAATTTTTTACACAGAATGCTCTCTCTTTTGTCTTGTAAAATATTGCCGTAAGAGACGCATCGAGTCATTCTGTTACGCGTCCTACGTCCTCTTTGACTCGAGGGTTCATCGAACGCGGCGCTCGAGACGCGAGAGTGAGACGAAAAATCCTTTTTATCGTGTGTCCGACGAGATCGAATCGCGTGGCCTCCTCTGGTGTACAAACAGGCACGTGCGTCGTCGATGTTTCGTAACGAGACGCAAGCAACGAATTTATGTATACGCGACACGAACAACCGTCATGTTGAAAAAAAAAAAAAAAACAAACAAAAACCTGCAAGCTAGCTGTGCAAGTGCACTGGCCGTCCTCCATCCCCCTTCTCTTCACTCTTCTCTTTTTAAGTTTTTAGATGTTTATATATTTTATTCCCCATTACCGCGAGAGAAAACGCGGTGATGACGATCGAGAGAGCAAAAGCGGAGCCGACGAGAAGACGATGCGCGCTTCTTATCAAATAGCTAACGAAGACACCTAATATTGTAATAAAACACAGATCGAGACATGAGACCGAACGAATATCCAAGAGTAACGGAAAATGAGAGCGATTCCCGTTCGTTGCAAAATTTTAGCGACAATAATTCACTGAAACGTTTTTGTAAAACCGTGCGTTTTGAAAAGAATTTCCAGCGAGCGAGCGAAACGACGAGCGCGACTCACCGTGAATTGACTTCGAAACTCAAATTTCGTTCAACGTTTGTAAAATAGTTACCGGAAGATACGTAAATAAATAACAGCATGATTTTCTTCTTTCGACCGTACGACGAGGCACTCCCGAAGCGCAAACTCTTGACAAACGAAAACAGAAACAAAAACACGAACATTCTGTACATATATACGTATACATCGGCCAAGAAGATTTTTTAAGAAAGACACGGTGTAACAAAATTTTCAATTCGCGAGTTCGCGTGTTCGATCGAGACGACAAACTCGCTTTGAATATCGCAGGACGATTTCGCTGAAAACAAAAAAAATCATTTACCATTTTCATTCTCGTGACCTCTATTTCTCTTTATATAGAAATATCTTTCTTTTATATACATATAGTTACTTATCTAATTATATATTTTTCGTATACATATATATATATATATATATAAAATTTCGTATATACATTTGTTTCGTTATGTGTAGACACATGAAATTACGTATACGTAACCTCATCAAAGTCATAGAATTTATTTTATAGATTAAATGAGCGAGCAAGCGCAAAAATTTGATTTGTCTGACTACTTATCTACCTATACCGGTTGTTTCGAGCGATTTGTAAAAAGACGCGTGCGAAATCGTCTAATTACACACGTATATACATAGTTTCTTCACGATTGCCTTGCACATTTCTGACGACAAACAAAAAAAAAAAAAAATAAAACTGCTGAGTAGATTATGAAGTACTACTGAATCGGTACGCTAGCGCGGATTCAGCGCGAATGCCTTCTATAGAATATAATTTCCCGACTAGCGGCACAAAATTTTATTTTTCAGAAACGTTACTAAGTTTTTATCGTGTAAGTTATCGTTGAAGTAGCCATTGCATGGCCTGTTACGCAAATTTGAATTTTAAACAAAACAAAAAAAAATAAAAATAAAATAAAATAAAAAAGAAAATTAATAGTAACGGCGCGCGCGTTGCGAACGAGAAGCGTATGTACAGTGTAGCGAAGAGCAAAACTTTTTCGACGTTTGATTGTATACGAAAGTTTCTCATGTCATTTGTAAAGGAAAGCCTATAACGTAGACTGCGAGGAATAATTTTCCAGTTACCTGCAATATCTTTCAAGAATTTCACGCGAGCCAATAGCCAAGCTCGTGCGCATATGTTCTGCTTGTCCTGCGCGCTCGTCATCATTTCAAGGTCGTCAGTCGCGGCAGCAACAAAGAACAAAGTTATTAAAAAATACGGTTGATTACAAACGAGTAAAAAAAAAAAAACTTCAAATTTTTCGCGCGTATCACTCATTCACACTCAGCACAAATTTTTAAGCTACTTGAACAAAAAAATTTTCGCGTCACGCAGAGATTTTTGTTTCAACTGTCCGTGAGTTTGCATTATCGATACGCAAATTTGTTTTTCTCTTTCTTTGACGTAGATGATGACGAGCGCGCGATATAATGTGGATCTCGGCACAAGTTATATTGGCCTATAACAAGCGCGTTAGCATGATTGACATACACCGCAATCCGAGATGATAGTTAATAAACAAATAAAATAAAATAGTAGAGAATAATATATACATATACATATATAGCAGCGTGACAGACGCGGCCGCCGGCTTTGCTCCAAATAGAATGAATTAAAAATAAAAAAGAAAAAACTAAAAAAAAAAAAAAAAAACAAACAAAAACCTGCAAGCTAGCTGTGCAAGTGCACTGGCCGTCCTCCATCCCCCTTCTCTTCACTCTTCTCTTTTTAAGTTTTTAGATGTTTATATATTTTATTCCCCATTACCGCGAGAGAAAACGCGGTGATGACGATCGAGAGAGCAAAAGCGGAGCCGACGAGAAGACGATGCGCGCTTCTTATCAAATAGCTAACGAAGACACCTAATATTGTAATAAAACACAGATCGAGACATGAGACCGAACGAATATCCAAGAGTAACGGAAAATGAGAGCGATTCCCGTTCGTTGCAAAATTTTAGCGACAATAATTCACTGAAACGTTTTTGTAAAACCGTGCGTTTTGAAAAGAATTTCCAGCGAGCGAGCGAAACGACGAGCGCGACTCACCGTGAATTGACTTCGAAACTCAAATTTCGTTCAACGTTTGTAAAATAGTTACCGGAAGATACGTAAATAAATAACAGCATGATTTTCTTCTTTCGACCGTACGACGAGGCACTCCCGAAGCGCAAACTCTTGACAAACGAAAACAGAAACAAAAACACGAACATTCTGTACATATATACGTATACATCGGCCAAGAAGATTTTTTAAGAAAGACACGGTGTAACAAAATTTTCAATTCGCGAGTTCGCGTGTTCGATCGAGACGACAAACTCGCTTTGAATATCGCAGGACGATTTCGCTGAAAACAAAAAAAATCATTTACCATTTTCATTCTCGTGACCTCTATTTCTCTTTATATAGAAATATCTTTCTTTTATATACATATAGTTACTTATCTAATTATATATTTTTCGTATACATATATATATATATATATATAAAATTTCGTATATACATTTGTTTCGTTATGTGTAGACACATGAAATTACGTATACGTAACCTCATCAAAGTCATAGAATTTATTTTATAGATTAAATGAGCGAGCAAGCGCAAAAATTTGATTTGTCTGACTACTTATCTACCTATACCGGTTGTTTCGAGCGATTTGTAAAAAGACGCGTGCGAAATCGTCTAATTACACACGTATATACATAGTTTCTTCACGATTGCCTTGCACATTTCTGACGACAAACAAAAAAAAAAAAAAATAAAACTGCTGAGTAGATTATGAAGTACTACTGAATCGGTACGCTAGCGCGGATTCAGCGCGAATGCCTTCTATAGAATA